GAGATCTTGCCATCGCACTCCAGCCTGGGGAACAGAGTGAGACTCCGTTAAAAAAAAAAAAAAAAAAAAAAGCTAAAATAAGAACACACAAACACAAAGAGGGGAACAACATACGCTGAGGCCTAGTTGAGGGTTGAGGGTGGGAGAACAAAAAGGATCAGAAAAAGTATTTGTTTAATGCTATGCTTAATACCTGTGACAAAGTAATTTGCATACCAAATCCCCATGACACAATTTTATCTATGTAACCGGTCTGAACTAAAAGTGAAAATTAAAAGAAAAAAAACTCTATGGGTGGGGGAGACTGCAATGTAGGTAGAAGGACTGGTTTATGCCACAGATAGTTGCCTAGATGGGGATGTACTCTGATTTATTTCTGTGTCCATTAAGGAGGATGACATTATAAACAGGTGGCCCGGAAACCTAGGTTGGTTAAAGAAAACAGGATACTGCTGTAGATCCAGTGACCGGGGATGCAGATATGCCAGGAGACTTGTAGACCCTTTTGTTGGTTTTTAGCAAGAAGCACTCTAGGATGAAAAATGCTGTGGTGATATTCCTGGGAGAGGTGTAGACACATAAATGTCTAGCGGGTATGTTTGTGAGTGGGTGAAATCCTGTGGTGGCAGCTGTGGGAAAAGGGGTTCTTTCATCAGAGCTCTATTCCTTTTTTTTGTTTTTTTCCCAAAAACAGAGTCTTGACCCATAGCGCAGGCTGGAGTGCAGTGGTGTGATCTCGGCTCACTGCAACCTCTGCTTTCCAGGTTCAAGCGATTTTCCTGCCTCAACTTCCTGAGTAGCTAGGATTACAAGCACCGCCACCGTGCCCGGCTAATTTTTTGCATTTTTAGTAGAGACGGGATTTTGCCATGTTGACCAGATGGTCTCGAACTCCTGACCTCAGGTGATCCACCCACCACGGCCTCCCAAAGTGCTCAGATTACAGGCGTGAGCTGCCACGCCTGGCCAGAGCTCCATTCCTTTAAGTTTTCAGTTCTTTCTCATTTTGGAAGAAGACCTGAAATCACAAGACAATAGGCAGTGTGACAGCCTGTGTACGGGAGAGCAGAGCCTCCCATTCTCAGACACCCAGAGTTCCATTTCAGGCCAGGCCTCTGTGATATCTTTCTCTGGCACCAAATCTGTAAGTTTGCTGAACACCAAGCAATTTTCCACCACCAACATATTGTCTAACATTTCAATTCTGACCCTACTCAGAGTCAGCCTAGACTGATTTAAGGCTCACTGCCACAATGTTGTCCTCACTGCAGATGCCAGTTACAAACCCCAGAGGCCCATCTATGATTCTCAGCTATTGTTTAAAAATTCAGAACTTCCTTTCGGAGGCTGAAGTGGGAGAATTACCTGCGGTCAGGAGTTTGAGACCAGTCTGGCCAATGTGGTGAAACCCTGTCTCTACTAAAAATACAAAAAAATTAAGCTGGGCATGGTGGCACACGCCTGTAGTCCCAGCTACTCAGGAGGCTGAGGCAGGATTGCTTGATCCTGGGAGGCAGAGGCTGCAGTGAGCCGAGATCGCGCCACTGCACTCCAGCCTGGGCAACAGTGTTAGACTTTGTCTCCCAAAAAAAA